ATATATGTGTGTGTATAACCTACACATACTGCTGTGAATATTTACATCTTCTCTTTACTATAAATAAGTTAACTAAATTTTGTAAGCTATACTTTCAATGTTATAATTTTGGTATTTGATAGAAAGAGATTTTCAATTATGATGATATAGTAATCAGGAATCTTTGTCTAATATTAAGAGACAACAGTACATTATTTACAATTAACAAAAGAAATAAGGATGATATAGGGATGGCAATGCTGAAAAGTTCAGGGGTTTTAAAACTACGTTACTACTTCAGACTGAGAAAAAAAAAGGAACTATTCAAAATATTATTTTATCCATTTATTATTCTCAAAATCTAACATTAATAAAATATTCCATTGTTGTATCACCTTACAATAATACAATACTGGCCTAAGTTATATGAAAATAAAATACATTAAAATTCAACATTTCCCATTCTCTCCAAGTACAGCAATAAAAATGTTCAGATGGTGTCACTCAACCACAACTTTCACATGGCTTCACTCTCTTGTTAAAATATAAACTTTAATTAAGTACAACAATTTTCCTCATCTTCATAAATGATTATTAATTTATCTCTATAAATTATACCAAGAGATTTTATGCCAGTCACGTTTAACCTTTCATTTTATGGAACATTAATGATTCAGCTCATATGGCATGTGGAACTCTCTATCTCAGTAACACTAACTGACTAAGCATAAAATTCATTCTCAGTGTCTCTCACATTTACATTAATTAATCATCTGTCTATGTTATCATCTTATTGTCAATGTAACAAGACACTAGGCATGAGTTTCATCCTACTAAAAATTATGATATGGTTATAAAATGGAATATTAGTACATAGAAGTCACATTATGTTTATCTAAAAATTAAATATGAAGCCAATCTAATAAATGATTCACCATTTGTCATCGAATTATACTAGTTTCAGGAAATTTTACCCTCATCAGTAACAATTTGTCTGTTTATCAATTTAGAATAAATTAGTAGCATCAATGCTACTTATCCTTCAAATCCTATATAGTTTCACTGTGGCATGTGTATATAAAGTTTATCTATAACAACTTACATATATCATTAGCTAATACTTCTAACAGTCTCCAAGTTCTAACTCAGAATATGTAGTTGCATTATCAATATATAGCATCATTTACTCTATAGTTTTCCTTATAAATAAAAGAATTAACAAAAACCTAGTAATTAGTAATAAAAATACTAGTAGTAATGATAAGTCAAAACTGACTTTAAATAAAAAAGTTAAAACGGGTTTTTGGTTTTCACGTACTTATGTTTAGTGCACAGTAAAAATAGAGTATCTTAATTTATTTCTTAATTTTAACTTTCAGTACTAGTAGTAGTAGTAGCAGTACTATTAAATTTACTTACATTTTTGTGTTAAAAGTTTTACAAAACTTCGTACTTGGTTTACAAAACAATGTCAGTTGGGTAAATCCTCTGCCTAACATTATACCGAGTGATACTAATAGAGCACAAGATTATAAAATTACATAAAATAATTTGGTGGATCGTATTTCGCCTTACATATACTCTACTGGGTGTTAAGGTCGAGAAAAGAAAGAAAGAAGGAAAAAAAAAGACAATAATCAAAACTCCAAGGCCATAACTCGTACGACGCACAACATACGGCACAAGAAACTATAACTTGGTTGTATGAAAAATCATTTATAATTTACACACGACTTTAACGCCCTCTCTTATAAAGTTTGGAACGAACCAGCACCGTCCGCTGAAATTAAAATAAACATTGCTTTAGCCACGATATTCAAAGCAAACTAGCTGTTATGCTCTTTTACGTACTATTGAGTTTCGAGAGAAACTGATCGTACAACGTGAAACAAATAACATTGGAGTAATTGTACACTATTCTATATGTTTGTGCATGAGTTAGATAGCTTTAAACTGATAATCTCAATTTATCCATTTTTGACCTAAGAGATGTCACACTAAAAAGACAAAAGTAGACCGTTGTTCGCTGATAACCAACTCCAAAGTTAAAAACAATCAACCATCTCCTGGTGACTCAGCAGTAAGTTTGAAGACTTATAACGCTAACATTTAGAGTTCTATCTCCGTGATGTATATAGAACAGATGTAGTTTTGCGCTTATCAGCAAACAAAAGAAACAACCCCAATTTCACAACTTTCAATGTAACTTCGTTTTTCGCAAATTCTTTCTAAAAAACGTCTAACTTTGCTTGAACTAAAATTTCTGCGTGATTTACTCACACACACACACACACACACATATATATATATATATAACAAATTACAAGAAAATGCAATATAATACAGAGAATAATGAATATCAAAGTTTTATATATTATATTTATTAAAATGTTGGACGCAAGGCATCGTGGCATTTTAGGCATTATGATTTGTTTGTAATTAAGCACAAAGCTACACAATGGGCTATCTGTGCTCTGCCCACCACGAGTATCGAAACCCGGATTCTAACGTTGTAAATCCGCAGATATACCGCTGTGCGCTGTGCCACTAGGGGGCAGGCATTATGAGAAATGTGGTCAAAAGCTCCTATGTAATCACATTCATGCGTCCGTTGATGTTTTTTGTTTGCTACTTGGGTAAGCCGAACGTGCTGGATAAGCTTAAGCATTTCAATCGGGATAGGTTTGAGCAAGAGGCTTTTTGAATAGATTATACTTGGTGTATGCCGTTTTCATTACTAATTTAATTTATGCACTTGATGTATGTAGATAATTTCTAACCTATCTTTGAAAACTTTGGTATCGAACTGTCGCAATCTATATTTTAAAAGAGCAAATAACCTTACCTTGTGGTATTGATATGTTTGTTTGTTGTTAAGCACAAAGCTATACAGTAGTCTATCTGTGCTATGACCACCACGAGTATCGAAACCCGATTTTGAGTCCACAGATTTACCGCTGAGCCACTAGGGGCATTTTCAACCTGAACAGTACCTTATGCGACACACTGGCTAAGCGGAGTTGAGAGAAGATACTAAATACAACAAGTGACACAGCTAGTGACTCCAGAATATTGATATTTATGTAGTTTTCCTCCTTCTTAAAACACCGATTATCAAACCCTTGATAAAAGCTGATAATTTTACTTTACAATCTCACAAGATTGGTATTTGTGAAAAGATAAACATCCACAGCCATTACTGACCAGTCAATTGACACTGCTTAGTCATCCCAGGGCTTCCCACTCACAGGAATTCAAGGCCAGCGTAACGTGTTCTAGTGACCCAGACATACTTAACTACCAGTGTTTTCCATCTGTATTTTCTATAGAAGAGAGACCGAAAAGGAAGAAAGGATCTTCCACTGATAAGGCCACATTTAACCCTTTGAAGCCTCCGTGAAAACTGCAATGTTGGATCCTTCCTTCTTTGAGGCTCAAGGCCCCGTGCAATTACATGGGTTGCACCCGCCTCTAAACCCGGCACTGTCCACTCGATGAACCAAAAACCACCTCTGCAGGCAAAGGTACACACACAGAGATTAATAGAAAAGAAAAATAAATTCCAGAGAAACCAAAGTTGAAGAAGAAAAGGGGCGAAGTTGGTAATATATTAAATAGAACTTGAAAGACCTTCCTCTTTCAAAGAAAAAGGTGTTTAAATGCTATATGAATTGAGCTAGAAAACTGCTGTTAAGCATAACTAAATAAGTAGGAATAAGATGTGTCATGTAAAGCTTAGCAAGTCAACCCTAATAAAATGCTACTTGTAAAAGCTGGCGAGTGATCACATACACTTCTCTCGA